CTTGCTGTCTACCTCAGATTTTCATTCCTCACCTCTAATCATCACAGCTATCATGTGAAGAAGACAGCGGTAATTGGTTTTATTTTGCAGAGGTTGAGAGTGTATTACTGAGAACTAAGAAGCAGATGAAATACAGGTGAGATGTATGCAGAAGCTGGTTATTTCAGGCATAGCATAGACTTCAGTCTCATGCTATCTTTATCTCACAGTCCCCACAGTGATGATAGTGGTGTCACAGGGTGTATTTTAAGTCCGCCTCATGTGACTGGATGTCTGCTGACTGTAGTGTCTAGGCAGTCTTGGGAGGTAGCACATATTCATTTAAGCTGGGCCTGTTACAACCCAGGTATATGGCCATCCTCTGCCTTCCCAAAGTGTTAAATTACTTTTTAGTTATTTTTACCATTGACTTAAAGACATCCAAAGTCCAAATTCAGATCCTCTCTTATGAGTAGGACACAGTGAGAGGCTCAGTACCAATTATTGTGTGAGTTACAAATATGCCAAGGACACTTGAGAAAGTGCTCAACATCCTTAGCCATCCGGGAAATGCAAATCAAAACAACTCTGAGATACCATCTCACTCCTGTCAGAATGGCTAAAATCAAAAAACACCAACAATTTATGCTGGAGAGGATGTGGTGAAAGGGGAACACTCCTCCATTGCTGGTAGGAGTGCCAACTTGTTCAGCCACTTTGGAAATCAGTATGGAGATTCCTCAGAAAAATGGGAATAAACCTACCACAAGACCCAGCAACTCCACTCTTAGGCATATATCCAAAAGATGCCCATTCATACAACAAGGATGTCTGTTCCACTATGTTCATAGCAGCATTGTTTGTAATAGCCAGAACTTGGAAGCAACCTAGATGCCCCTCAACTGAAGAGTAGATAGAGAAAATGTGGTACATTTACACAATGGACTACTATTCAGCAGAAAAAAACAATGGAATCCTGAGATTTGCAGGCAAATGGATGGCACTAGAAGAAACCATCCTGAGTGAGGTAACCCAGTCACAAAAAGAAACATGGCATGTACTCTCTCATATATGGATTTTAGACATAGATCTGGGGAGTGCCAGCCTACAATCCCATGCCCGAGAGGCTGGGAAACAGAATCTTCATTCAGTGGCTGATGGAAGAAGAGGCAGACTCCCATGGCTAAGCACTGAGCTGAACTCAAGAAAACCAGTAACAGAGAGGGTGGAATGATGACCAAAGGGATTAAGACTGGGCTGGTTTAACCCCCAGAAACAGCTGACCTGACAAGGGTTAGCTCTTGAATACCAGGCTGATGCCTGGGAATCCAGCATGGAACTGATGAAGACCCCCTGAATGTGGGTATCAGTGAGGAGGCCTAGGTAATCTATTGAGCCTTGGGCAATAGGTCAGTATTTATCCCGGGTATACAAATGGACTTTGGATTCTCATCCAACATTGTGAGATGCACTCTCACCCTGAACTCTTGGAGGAGGGTCTAGGCCCTGCCCTGGATGAAATGACAGACTATGGATACCCCATGGAGGGCTTCACCCTCCCTGGGGAAATGAGGGGATATTGGGGGTGTTGGGGGAAGGGAATGGGAGGAGGGGAGGGAAACAGAGAGGGACCTGGAACTGACTTGTGAAGCAACCTTTTTTCTAATTTAAATTTAAATTTAAAAATAAATAATAATTATAATAATAAATAAAAACAAATATGCCAAGGAAGTAGTGTAGGCTTACTGTACAATCTTCTATAAATGTGTCACATTTATAGCACTGATTACAGTTATCTATATGAAAGGTCACTTGATGACTGTCCCTCACCTGTTAGGGTCTAGATGCTGTAATGCTGAGAGCCATTAAACTATTCTCACTGACTGCCCTCAGCTCCATCACTACTCAGGTGATGAGTAGTTAAAAAGAGGGTAATTTTAGTCGTTTGCCCAAAATTTTGTCTCTTTAGGAATCTCTCTACTTTGGTTCCTTCTTTTCTTTCTTTCTTTTCCTTTTGTTTTCTTCACTTTTTTCTTCTATTTGTACTTATTTATTGATTCAATATTTGTATAGTACTTACTGTGTGGTAGATGTTGGTCTAAGTGTTGTAAAATGCTAATTCATTTAATTCAGATTGTTTTACAGTTAAGAATATTAAGCTCAGAAACATTCCCAAGGCTACAGAACTGACATTTGGACTCAGGCATGGGGCCCAGTCTGAGGTTTTACACCGTGGTGCTATATCACCACTTATTTATTCTGGCCTCAGAGGCTGCATAGAAAAAAGAAACAAGGTCAATCTTTTCCTGACACCCTTCCACATTGATTCCCCAGGTTAAGTGTGTGTGTGTGTGTGTGTGTGTGTGTGTGTGTGTGTGTGTGTGTGTGTATCAGTGTGGTATGTAGGAATGTGCTCATGTTGGATGTATTCATGTGAAAATGTGATATACATGCACATATATGTACCTGTGCGTGGAGGCCAGAAGTGGATATTGAATGCCTTCCTCAGTTGCTGTCCACCATGTTCTTTGAGATGGATTTTCTCACTTAACTCATAACTCATTGATTTAATGCATTGAAGCCTGAAGTTCTGTTTCCTTTTTATAAGTAAGTGCCGACAAAGCCTATGTATGTATGTATATAGCATAGTTTTATTACAAATTTTGAAAATAAACACAATGAAATACCAGCTGGGATTCTTGGGGGAGGGCCTAGGCCCTGCCCTGGATGAAATGACAGTTACTGGAGATCCACCATGGAGGGCCTCACCCTCCCTGGGGATTGGAGTGGAGATTGGGTGGAGGACTGGGAGAACCTGGTGGGGAGGGCCGGGGAGAAAGGGAGGGAGAGGGAGCTGGGATTAACAAGTGAAACAAGATTGTTTCTAACCTAAATAAAAAAATAATTATTATTAATTTTAAAAAAAGAACCATCCTTAAAATACAATTAAATAGTAATACAAAATCCTATGAAATGTGCTGTGCTATCATACATAGAAGAAATGAAACCATCAAATAGCTAGGAGCATTCACCACCAAAAGCTGTAAAACCTAACTGCATGGAATAGCTACTTAAAAACCTACAACTTGATTGCTTTGAAAAGTATCTTCTCTAGAAAGAATCTTACCAGATATACTTGTTGATATTGAAGTTAATGGTGAGCTGCTCTTGAGTTTCACATTCTTAGCAAAACAATTTAATTGATACTTTTTTGCACCATGATGGAGATAACAGGTATAAAATCCAGTAACATGGTGTCTTAGTGAGGGTTTCCATTGCTGGGAAGAAACCCTATGACCCAAAGCAACATTTTACAGCCTGTGATCCAGGGAAGTTGGAGCAGGATCTCAGGGAAGGAATCTAGAGGCTGGAATTGATGCTGAGGACATGGAGGCATGCTGCTCTGACATCAGAACCACCTGACCAAGGAGTGGCACCACTCACAGTGGGCTAGACTTTCCTCCACCAGTCACTGTTTAAGAAAATGCCCTGGCTATGCAAAGAAACCTTGTCTTGAAACATAAAACTAAAATTAAAAAAAGAAAAGAAAATGCCCCCACAGGCTTCCCTGCAAGCCAGTTTTTTTTTTTTTTTTTGGTGGTGGTGGTGGGTTTTTTTTTATCATTTTTTTATTTTAATTTTAAATAGCTTGTTTTACATGTCAATCCCAGTTCCCTCTCCCTCCCCTCTTCCCGCACTCCCCTTCCCCCCCTCCCTCCCACCCTATTGCCAAATCCTTCCACATAGGGGATATCTAGAGTCTGTCATTTTACTCTTGGTAGGGTCAAGGCACTCCCCTAAGAGTCCAGGCTGAGAGAGAATCTCTCTTTGTGCTATAGGCACATGAAGACAGTTTGTATACCAGGGATAGACACTGATCCACAGCTCAGGGCCCCATAGGTGGCCCAGGCCTTCTCACTGACACTCACATTTGGGGGGTCCAGATCAGTCCCATGCTGGCCTCCCCACTGTCGGTCTGGGGTCCAAGAGCACTCCCCTGTTCAGATCAGCTGTCTCTGCTCGTTTTGCCAGCCCATTCTTTGCCAATTTGCTCATCACTCCTCTCTGTCACTGGGTTCCTTGGGTTCAGTTCAGTGATTAGTTGTGTGTTTGCCTCTGCTTCCATCAGTCACAGGATGAAGGCTCCCGGATGGTTATAGACATCAAGTTCATTATCAGGAATGGGCATTCGAGGTGGTCCCTCCACTATTGCTTAGCTTGCCAATTGATGTTATACCTTTAGATCACTCGAGGTCACTCTGGTGCCTGATCTGTCTTCGATCCTATGATTCCCTCTTCCCCCTATTCTACCCCCACCCCTCAACTTCCTGTTCCCCCATGACCAACTCCCTTCCTCTTTACCCCCTCTATTCTTCCCAGGTCCCACTCCCTCCCCTCCCCTCGCCGTGTTCCCCATCCATTCAGAGGATCTTGTCTCCATCCTCTTCTCTTGGGTACTATGCATATATGCATATCTTTTAGGTTCTTTCCTGTTTCCCAGACTCTCTATCTGTGGAAGTGCAGACTGGCACTATCCTGATCCATATCTAAAATCCATATATGAGTGAGTACATACCATGTTTGTCTTTTTGCGACTGGGTTACCTCACTCAGGATGGTTTCTTCCAGTGCTATCCATTTCCCTGCGAATTTCAAGATTCCATTGTTTTTTTCTGCTAGTCTGTCCATCATGCTACATTCACTAGGTGTTATTTTCTGCCAGCAGTTGTTAAGACAAAACAAACAACTCTCCCCAAAAAACTGCATCAAGGGGCTGTTAAAATTACTCTCTAAACAAACCCAATACGGTTATGTCAATTTTCAGCACAGGCTGCGTAAATAGCAGGCATTTGACAAATTTATTCATGAACTGAATTGAATATGAATCTGCTAGAGGAAAACAATGGGTCCAAAATATTTACAACTATATGAATAGGTTTTAAACCTTGGGAGGTTAAATACCCTCATAGCTGAAGACATGAAGATTGACCTTTTCTAAATTCATCCTTCTCGTCCTTGCAGGAACTTCTACTTGCAGAGAAGTGGGCTAAAATGAATAAGCTCCCCTTTCCAAAGATTGATCCTTATGTGTTTGATCGGGAAGGATTGAAGGAGTGCTATGTTTTTAAACCCAAGAATCCTGATGTAGAGAACGATTGCCCTACCATTATCCACTTTGTTCTGGCCAACATCAACTTCAGAAAGTACAAGGCTCCAGGTAGGTTTCCATGACACTGAAGTCTGGCTGGCCGTGTGCCTGATACAGAGCAGGTTTACACTGACACTATCCCATGAACTAGACTACAGGGAGTACTTCTCTTACCGTGACAGATAGTTGTGACCTGAGAGTCTAAGTACTTCCTTCTTCTTTACCCCAAGATTTCAAGTTCCTCATGATAGAGAAACTGAAAAGTGAATGACAAGCTCAGCAAAAATTACTAGAGCATTCATTCAGAGGCATGGGTTTACAAAAGGATGTTAAGTAGTTTGACTTTCACCATTGTGAAACAGCTCTTGTCTTTAAAATGAAATCATTCAAAAACCTCTGGGAATATGAGTTGATCACAGAACTAATTGTGATCTATCAATGTAGCATGGCTGACCATTTTGGGTTCCACATTGTGTTTTATAGCAAAGGAGAATCTAGTTCAAGGAATGCTTACTGTGTTTTTCCATCTCTGGAGGAGAAGGTGGACTTTTGTGCATCCTAAGAGATACCTGTTAACAGAAGAAGGATGCTTAAGGGCACTAAATGCTAAATGTTTTTCAGAAGATGCAGTACTCTATTTTGTGAATGGGAAGAGATAAAAAGATGGGTGAGGGGATACAGAAGAGAAGGTCTTTTCCCTAGGTTTCTCAGAGTGATAAAAACTTAGTAAGTGTGGAGTTGTGAGGCATGCCTCATATGGGAGAAGTGAAGCAGGCTGGCACTTTTCCTTTTCAAACGGAAACCTCAGTTTCAAATAGAAACCCTGGTTTCAAACTGAAAGCGACCTAGACAGTTTTCTATTACTGTTAGTTCTCAGGAAGAAACCAAGAGGTTGGTAAGTACAGGGATTTCTGGGGCTTGAAGAGGACTCAATGTTTTGGTTTGGATTTCCCCAGAGAAAGATTCTCAGGAGAAGATTCAAGCACAAGCAGTTTATTTGTAAGGGAGTGAGGAAGTGATACTAGGCAAGGATACAGACAGCAAGGCGCATGCTAGTAAGCCAGCTACCCCAAGAGGAACACGACCCGTCTGGGAAAGTGCAAGGCAGAACACCCAGACCATAGAGTCATCCTTTCCATCCATGTACTAGCAGACAAGGGAGCTAGGGATCATCCCAACTTGAGTGTGGCTAACTGGGGCAGACGGTTGGGTTTTTCTTTTGAAATCATAGCCTTTTTGGTGACTCTCAGTGCTGTATTCATGATTGTTTGTATGTTTTAGAGAGTTTTTTTAATTTTTGAAAGCAAGATTCATACTCTTTTTGGGGCATATAGGTGTCCCAAGGGAAACCAAAGAGGAGAAAGAAATAGCTGACTTTGACATTTTTGATGACCCCGAATCGCCATTTTCCACCTTCAACTTTCAGTATCCAAATCAAGCATTTAAGAGGCTACATGATCTGATGTACTTCAATACGCTGAACAACATTGACGTGAGTATCTCCCACAACTGTTAACATGAGAAGTTACTAGCAAACACATGAATTCAGTAAGAAGACAAATAAGTCTTGGGAATTACCATATCCACAACATTGTGTCTTGTTTCATATGAATTATTTCACTAACCTCTAAAAGAATATTCAGAATTCACAAATAATGACATCACTGTCAGCAGCTAATCAGAGTCCTCACTTTACATGATTGTTTGGGGGAATAAGGGTTCATTCCCAGCTCTGCCGATCTATTCATTTCATGCTAATAGTTTATGAAAAGAGGGAAGTATTGGAAAGGCAGTGTACAGGCAGGAAAGGGAGCATGAGTGCCATTCCTGCAGAAGTCTCGCTGTTGACTGCATGAAAGCAGCTTTCAAGTGCTTGGTTTTGTAGCTCCTGACAATATTGTCCAATACAACAGAGCCTCCTGCAGTTTTACCCTTTCCCATGTGCTTTGAGAAAGAGCATTCAGAAGCAAGTCTTTTCCTTCATTATCAAGCATTCTTATCACTAGCAACCCTGCTGCTAGAAGTCTTTGTCTCTGAGATTGGTTAGTGCTAAGTGCACCATGTCAGAGTACTGTCGTGTGGTTGAAATCATCAGCTTGTGGCCCAAATCACAGCATCTAACCCATTCTGATCAGTTGTGAAAGCTGAGCTCATTGGCCTGCTTGAATTTTGCACATTAAGAAAGAAAATAGGAAAAGAGAGCAAATTGGAACCATGCATCATCTCTGATTTTCTGTTTTTTTTTTTAAAGAGATTATGGATGGCCCCAAAGAACACACAGATGTGCCGTTTCTGCAGAACTTAACTAGATTCTGTGCTAAGTGACACTTGACACATCAGTGTGCTTGCTTCTCTAGTTTTCCATGAGACAGTTTAAGACAGGTCAAATGCAATCATGCCATAGTGGCCATGCTGCTTTTAATCAGTACAGTTTTGTAATCATATGAAAAATTTCCGGATAAACTTCAGTTCCTCTAATAAAATTCCTTTTTTTTTTTTGGCCTGTATTTTCCAGCATGTAATGACTAATACATAACACACTTATCAAAAATCGCAACACATTATTTCCTTAATTGACATATGCTGAATAGATCTTACATGGGGATGAATATTTAAAATCTTCATGCTTCTTTATTTGTGTGGTGACAGTTAAATTTTAAAGAAAATAGAGAAATGAAATGAGCATTGTGACCCAAGGAACACATAGAAATTGTCAAAATTTGCATTTTATTTTATTTTAGCTTTCATTTTATGTGTGTTTGTGAGAGGGGGTATGTGAGTGCAGGTGCCCCCAGAAGTGTCAGACCTCCATAGAGCTGGAGCCACAGGCAATTGTGAGGTACCTTCCCTGATTGACAGGAACTACATTCAGGTCTTTAGGAAAAGCAGGGTGAGTTCTTAATCTCTCAGCCCCCATGATAGAGTTGTACCTTATGAAGTTTAATCCCACTAAAAGAACAGAGAGCTAAGGAGATTCCTATTTTCTGGTTTGAAACTAATAGACATATATTCCTTGCAATAAAATATCTGTTAAATTTGGTAAGTCATCCTTAATGAAAAAAAAAAAAACAAAAACTTGAATTGTAGTAATTATAAATTCCTCTATCCAATTTAGGAATAAACACACTCACATATGTATTTTAAACAACTGTATTTCTCTTGCTATTTTAGTCCCTGTTTATATTAGACCTGTGAAAGGATGTGCTGTCAGCAATTGTGTGGTTCTATTTACATATTTTACAAGGTAGTTTGTTTGACAAAGGCATGACAAAGTTAAAGCCTGAACAAAACTCAACTGAATTCCAAAATAACCATCTTTAGTATAGTCCAATAAACATTGATTCTTCACAAACTGTTAGCTAAGCATTATCTATGGTAATATATACGTATGAAATTATGGGAATTTCAAACATTGTGTTTTTATAGTATCATTGTGCCCACAGACTGTTTGTTCCCAGATCCATATACACACTCAACTTTGTGTCTCATGTTTTTAACCCAATCAGGTCTAGTTGGTGCTACTTATATATTCTTGGGTGTGGACTATCTGTTAGAGAGTGTTCAACCTACCAGGGGTCATATCCTTGAAGAAAAGCAGCATGTTCTGTCAGTTACCAATAGCTTCTGAGGATGTGCGTATCTTATTCCACTTTTACTGATATCTTATCTCTTGCATATCATTTATCCTAGAAACCCTCCCATTTTATCATAAAAGTCCCTGGTAAGTGGTGATACAAAAAAAAACTAATAAAGTTTTGCTGAGCACATGATGCTGGGAAATGCATTGGGTTCAGTCACTTAAAGCCACCCACACCACTGCGTGGAGCAGAGCATGGACTTGTGCTTAAGCAGCTGCACAGGGATCACCAGAGTGGTTTTCAGGTGGCAGAAACTAATAAAACAGATTTCAAAGCCTTTCATCAATTAAAGCTTGAGACAGTTTTCACCCTTGTGGACAGAGCCTCCATGCCTTAAAGGTGTGTCTCCTCAATTTGTTCTCGGAGCTGGTTTTGTTATGAAAAGGCCACTGTGTATCTAATAGCTGGGAACTCCTGTTGGTAGTTTTCCTGGGATGTTCTTTAGGAAGTTTTACCTCTGCTTTAGCTCACTTTTTGACAGAAGTCTGGATTTTTTATTAGCATCAATTTTTCTGTGCTTACTCAGTCCTCCTGAATTCCTTTTCGATGAACATTGTCTCAGTGCTTTTACAGTTATGGAATTTTGTGGGATTTACATTTTTTCCTTACTAGAGATGCAAGGTATAGTCACTTAGACTGGTGGACATGTGGTATGTGGTATCCGGAGGCAATCAGACCAGATTGAGTGTCTAGTCATTGTCTATCTGTGTCTTAATTGGGTGGCCTTGGATGGGTAGATTATTTTCTTCTTTTGGAAGGGGAAATAATGATATATTTTATAAGATTAGGATGGGGGTTTAGTTAAAATAACTTATGGATTTAGGATATAATAGGCACTCAGGAAATTGCAACTGCTACTATAATAGAGAATTATTATTAGTTTTCATATTCTCCTTTGCTTGTAATTATAAATTATAAACTCTTTAAACAGTGACTTACTTATTTTCTGTGCTCTAGGGATAGTGAGTGACAGAATGCCCGGCACCCTACTTGAACATGCAGTATAGTTTTCATTTATTTATTTTTATAAGTCATTGACTGATTGAAGATAATGAGGGTCAGGATAAAGGTGTCTCTGGTTGGAGATGGAGCTGTTGGCCATGAAGCCTGCAGTCAGGACATTTCTGGCTGTGTAGCATGTAGAATCACAAACCACCACTTTGATCGGGAGGGAACATGCGTTCGGACGACTCTTGTACAGTGCTTTGTTGCGTCACCTTGTTTTCTCTTCTCATTCAGTTATCAATTCAGTTGACAAATTCAGGCAAATTCTATGGTACTATTATTCTTCACTGTATTCAACACATGCCAGTATGCATAACAATGGGCTTAAATTTTTGTGAGATAATTTATGAAGTGCTTTATTAGTTACTTCTCTTGTTCCTATGACAAAGTGTGTGACGAAAGCAGGAAATGTTTATTTCAGTTCGTGAATCAAAGGAGTCATCCATCATGGTGGTGAAGTCATGGCTGCAGGAACATGAAGTAGTTGATCACATTTCGTCAACAGTCACAAAGCTGTGAGATGAGAATGCATGGGATGATGATACCCACATAAGTTGCTTCTTCCCACTTCCTCAACTAACTACTCACAGCTGTGCTCGGAGATTTATTTCCTAGATGACTCTAGATCCTGACAAGATGAGAATCAGTGTTAACCCAGCACAGTGTTAAACACTGGGTGTTAATCAGAATGGGGAAAGTGGGTATCAGAAGTATCAGCAGCTAATTCTTAGTATAATGGCATTTCATCATTATGATTACATTTTCTAGGTGCAAGTTAAGGTTTTTGACTGTTAAAAATATAATCTGCAATTATATAATAACTGCAGCAATCTGCATTCTGTTGCATATCCTGGCCTGTTTTATTAGGTATGCAGCCCAGGAAAGAGAGTGGTTTCTCCTGCCCATTACCCTAAACAAAAGACAGATCAACCAGTTAAATGCCCATTTAAGCATAGCTCTACACAACATGCAACCCTTCAGAGTAAAGATTCAGAGTTCTAAAATAAACTACAAATTATTTTTTTTATTTCAGGTTTTGTGATACATGGGCAGGTGTATAGAAATATGGTTGCTTGAAATGGTGAGGGACTAATTCTGACAGAAACCTGAGAGGTGTTTGAAATTTTTTTCTGCTCTCTGTGTAGCATTTCTGTCCTTCTGGATATGGGGTAGGGAATTTTGAAGTGGGAGGTCTGGGGAGGTGAGAGGCTGGAAAAGAAACCGGAGACAATAGAACAGGGGCAGGAGAACATGTTTCCAAGACTTTTTCTTTCTGAGGCTGTCATTTGAGGGTGTGTTTTTCTGAACTCCTACAGCCCCTAACTCACCTGCCTTCCGTGTTCTACTCGATCTCCTCCCATCTCCTGTGTGTGTTGGTTGAATGTGCCTTTATTATCAGCTGTGCTGGGCACTGTTTAGGATTACAGGGATGCATAAGACCAAAAGAATAAATGCCCAGACCTGCAATCTCATCACTCAGGAAGCAGTAAGAGGATCCTGAGTTTGCATCTTGGGATCCTTAGGGAGACTCTGTTTCAGTCAGAAAACATAAAACAAAAAGAAAAATAAAAAAAACCCAAACAAGGAAATATTTGAGCAAATATTTGCTCTTAAATATTCTAATAAGCATGAAGGACAGATGGATATGTGTGCCTGCATGCACGTGTGTGTGTGTGTGTGTGTGTGTGTGTGTGTATTAATTTACAGGCAAGGGAATTGAGTGATGGATTAATTAGGCAAAATCCCAAAAGTCACAGTTTTGTGCAGCAAAGTTTTCTTGTTGGTCTATCTTTGGGCTGCCAGCCAGCAAATCATCTTACATCATATTGCTACATCATAGCAATACATCTTCACACAGTGTACATCATAGCAATACATCTTCACACAGTGTACATCATAGCAATACATCTTCACACAGTGTACATCATAGTAATACATCTTCACACAGTGTACATCATAGCAATACATCTTCACACAGTGTACATCATAGCAATACATCTTCACACAGTGTACATCATAGCAATACATCTTCACACAGTGTACATCATAGCAATACATCTTCACACAGTGTACAAATATCCTACAGCAGTTTTGGAGCTGGGACTGGACTGAGATCATAAATCTTCCCTACTCTTTTCCTGTCAACCATCTATCTCCCAAATTCCACAGTTTCTTTTCTACCCTAGTCAACCAGTTTCCATGTGTCTCCCTTTTACCACAACATTCCATCCCTGGCTTTGTATGGTTACACATGGAAAAAACAGCTTACCCCTTATGCTTATAAAACCATATGTGTTTAACTCTGGTTGCATTTCCTCATGGTTTATTCTGGGCATTTATTAATTTAAGAAATATTTTTAAGTACCTTTCATAGTCACAGTGCTAGGATAGAACACTAAGATTCCCTGTTTTCATCATATTTCAGATCTCATGGGAACGTGGACATTAGCTAGAAAATTCACAGTAATTTTGATGAAAATAGCAGTTGTTTGGTATACTGGTAGCTTTTTACTCCTTTTTCAAAATACGCCATAGCTTTCTCTAACATTGATATTGTAAGCATTTCACTTTTGTCTATAAATAGCTCAATAGTTCACCTGTACACCTCCAAAATTGTTCATTTTAATGGGAGGAAGGAAGATCTCATTTTCCAAGTTTTAATTTTTTTCTCATTTATCTACCCATATTGCTGAAAAATTAAGGGAACTGTTTTTAAAAATCAGCAAGCTTGAATTGTGCAGTAAAAGATAGATAGCATGGATCATACTTTGGGTGAGCAGTAAGGATGAAGGAGATTCTCATACATGGAATATTGCTAGAATAACCCTGACAAGAAGGATTTGGAATTCCATGGAAGGAAAGAAGTAATTATATAAACCCTCTAAGTTGACTCCTGGTAAAAATAAAAGTTAGAAGGTAGAGATATGACATAATAGATACACCCAGACATACCATGTGTCATGCTAAAAGAATTACAGTTAATGAGTGATTTCTTACTGAGTTTTTTGCTTGTTTGTTTGTTTGCATGGCAGCATCCAGCTCCTAGGGTGCATTTTAGGCTGTGTTCTGAGGGAGAAGCCCATGCAGTGGTTTCACAGTGTTAACATGCCACCTAGTGGTTTAACTTGCACATTCTTATCCCAAATGATTTGGGTTTCTTCAGTTATAAATGTAAATGTTGGTTTTCCTTTATAAGAAAGGCTTAAAGATTAGGAAAAAGATCAGGGTCCACATTTTGGTAAACTCACTTATTTGTCTGCCTTTCCCCCCCCTTCTGTTTTCTTATAGTGTTATGGATTGAACACAGGGCCCTGAACTACAGCCCTGTTTTTCCTCTCTCTCTCTCTCTCTCTCTCTCTCTCTCTCTCTCTCTCTCTCTCTCTCTCTCTCTCTCTCTCTCTCTCTCTCTCTCTCTCTCTGTTTTTCTCTCTCTCTCTCTCTCTCTCTCTCTCTCTCTCTCTCTCTCTCTCTCTCTCTCTCTCTCTCTCTGTAAATTCACTGCCAAGAATTAACATCAAGCAGTCATTACTGATGTAGAATTCCCTAGGGACTTTTCTGCTGTGGTGTTTCCCCAGGCACTTCTTTGCACCAAGGGGATACAGTTGGAGGAGCAGAAACCAAATGGTAGCATTGTAACCTAGGAGGCTAGAAAGAAAGTAGTTACAAGGAAATACAGTAGCTCATTTCAATAGCAGGATCGATTTCCCTGTTTACACCAGGCAATAATCTCCATTCTTGCTCATGTTTGTTTCTTATAATCATCATAGCTGTTAAGTTTCAAACCTGGGACAAATGGCTGAGGTGCCTATTTAGCATGTCAAAGCTGACCTGTCTACCAGCTTCTCCCAGCATCCCTCAGTCCTGTTACAATGTGTGGCTGGCAGACTCCACCCTCTACCCTGAACTGGGCTTGCTCTTCCCTGTGTAATCCAATCATTTCGATTGCTACACTTTTTGTATTTCTGCCCTCTTGGCTGCCACACCCCTCCCCTGTGTCCTACATGACCCAGCTCAGTCTGGTCACATCCACTCTGGATCTCCTAGATAGCTCTGCCTCTAACCATGCTCTCCCACATATCTACAAGATACTTTCTCCTCCACCGTGTCCAGGAGCAGTCCTGTCCTTCCCTTCCCTTCCCTTTCCTTTTTCCTTCCTTTCCTCTCTTTTTTTTTCTTTTTCCCCCTTCATCTGAAACCCTGACCAAACTGCTGAGTTGCTTATTTAACACATCAAAGTTGACCTGATTGCCAGCATCTCCCAGAATCCCTCAATCCCTTCCTGTTACAAGGTGTGGCTGACATACCCTGCCCCCCTACCCTGAACTCTCTAGCACAGGGGACTGGGCTGCCCTTCCCTGTATATTCCAACCATTTTGGTACCTGCTTTTATTATGCTTTTGGTCCTCCTGATTGCTGCACCTGGTTCTGCTCTCCTCTCCCTTACCCCCTCTCCATTCATGGCTCAATATATTGTTCACGCTGGACTTTCCCAGATGTCTCTGACTCTGGCTAGACTCTCCTACATAATCTACAATAAACTTTCTCCTCCACCATGCCTAGGAGTAATCATGTTCCTTTTCTTTTTTCATTCAGTAGCTTCCTAACTTTCATCTCACCCAGATTGTAAGCAACCATGTGAACATGTCTGTTACAGAATCATTGTCTGTGCCAGTCATCATTCACAGAACTTTATATTGATGGTCTCCAAACCCCAGCAACCCAAGATTAATAATGTTCCTCCCATCTTTAAGACAAAGAAACAGGGACTGGAGAGATGGCTCAGTAGGTAGAAGTACGTGCTGTTCTTGTGGATGACCCAGGTTTGGTCCCCAGCACCCATGTGACAAATCACACTTTATAGAAATATTTACAAGGGATTCAGCTCCCTCTTCTGGACTCCACCGCATACACATGGCGCACTTGCATGCAGGCAAAATACATACACAAAACAAAAATATGTAACATCTTTAAAGAAGAAATAATCTCAAGAATGTAGGCTAATTTCCATCTATTTTTACATAGCCTGGGTGTGACTGGACTAAGGAGGCCTGTCTTTGACCCCAGTCTTTTTCAGCAGATCTGAGGTACAGAATTAATTATGTCTCCCTGACTCATGGGAAAATGGGCTCTGCATACGTCTACTTAAAAGTCTCAGTAATATTGCCATGTTTCCACAAGCAGAGACAAACTCATTTTTTAAAAGTATATGAAAGACCCAGAGTTTTGTGATAAATTCTGTTTGTTTTGGTAACATGATCACATATTATTTAGTTAGCCACTCTGGAAGAAACCGAGGTTCCTGCCAATGGGTGTGATAAGAAGTTGCTGGGTGCTGACTCCATGTGTTCATAACTTAGCCCTCCTATCTCTCTGTTCTAGGCACTAGAGCATACTTGCTCAGTGAGCTTGCATTGGGAAAAGCTCTCTGTGCATGCCTCCGTGACGAGATGAGCCACATGAGACCTGAGTGGGAGGAACGCTCATAGGTCCTGAGCTCTTTGCACTTGCCAAAGATTCCTACTCACACTGTAGAGCTAAAAGCATATGGTCAGTGCTTGGAACTTATGCAACAGTCTCTGGAGTACAGGATAAAGGGCCCTTTCTAATACTCCTGCAACTCACCTCTGCTTCTAATGTCCCAAACATCCATTTTGTTGATAGCTCCTGGGGGAAGGGAGGTTTCCTGGTGTCTATGGGGCTCTGAAACAGTAGCAGAGTCATAATGCACACCCTCCCACCCCACTCCCAAAGCATTTCCCCAGCTGGGCAATAATGGCGCTGATTAAATCCTAATTTCATTTTCTCTGCTAAAATTCCTAACAAGGTTCATTTCATACCAGAAACAATGTATATTACCTCTGTTCATCATTAACTTATATAAGCATGAGGTACTCTGGATGGAAAATACTATTTAATTTTATGAGGAAAATTCTAAACCTTGGTGTTTCTTAGTTTGAGGACACTTGTTCTCTGCTGATGAGAATCCGAGAAATAGATAATTCCCTGGAGATCGATGCCTTCTCTCTCCACTAGGGGGCATCTCCCTTCTTTGTGTTCTCCTATTCCCTCTTTAACTTCAAAAACACAAATTCTAAATTTCATGTTTCCTTCCATATTATCATTTCCTAGTGAAACCTAGATGGAACATAAATTTACCTCGTTGCAGTGATCTTATTCTTCACCTGGAACGTGCCGGGAGTCCTTTTCACAAGAATGTAATAGTGAGACCTTGCATTGACATGGGCCTGAAAGAATCATATTTTTCTCAATAAATTTCTAAACGGGGAGGCTAAGAAAAGAGAACTGGGCTTGTGTTTTCATTCAATGAATGTTTCGTGGATGCATAGCTTTGCTAATCATTTGTTTTCTGTTTCCACTGGCAGGTGATAAAGGATGCCATTGTTGAGAGCATTGAATACAGACGACAGAACCCATCTCGTTGCTCTGTTTCGCTGAGTAATGTGGAGGCAAGAAAATTCTTCAACAAGGAGTTTCTAAGTAAACCTACGCCGTAGGCTGTGTGATGGAAAGGTCAAGCCATTTGAATTCCATGACGATTGGCATCAAATGCACATTAGAGGTTGTCTTACTGAGCCTAAGAGACTGTCTGGTACTCAGAGTGTAAGTGATTTAGTTGCCTGTTAAGTGGAAAATGGTGTTGGATATGTAATTCTTAGCAACAATTGCTGTCAGTTTGAATTTTCTGACAGCAGCATAGGGATATATACTGTATTTTAAACATTCCTCACCAATTTTTTAAAGTATTTCGTTTTAAAGTATTTAATAGTTCAGCTCAGTAAGTAAGGCTTCCCATTGTGTGTGAATGTTATTCACAAACTAGATTTGTTCATGCCATGATACAACACTATTTTTTATTTAAGAATTTATATATACACATATGAAATAAATACTTGGATGTACAAGTTACCATGAGAGACCTGCGCTTTTACTGTCTTTTTAAGAATCTTTCTGTTTCAGTGTTCTGTATATGATGTGTGCATGTACATGTCTATGTGTGGTCGACGGCAGATATGCTGGGACCATGATGTGTATGTGTGGAGGTCAGAGGACAGCTCCATGTTAGTCCTTGTTTTCTGCATTGTTTGAGACAGGGTTTCCTTGCTGTTTGTCGCCATGTATGCTGGGCAGCTACCCTTGAGTTTCCAGGGCCTGACTTGGGTCTGCTCCCCATCTTACCTTAGGGTGCGGGGATTACAGATGCACACTGCCAACATTGGCTTCACATGGGGACCCAAACACACCTCTTTATGCTCATGTGGTGAACACCCTACCCATGAAGTCATCTTCCTGGCCCTTGTTATTCAGATTCACTGATTTCAAGCAATGCAAATGTGAAACTTATAGTATTTTAAAGATTTATTTTTAATTTAATTGTGTATGTGGGGGGGTATGTGTATATAAATATAGGCACCCATAGAGGCCAGAGGTGTCAGGATCTCATTCAGTCAAAGTTATAGGTGGTTGGGAACCACTTGACATGAATGCTGGGAACTGAACTCGGATCCTCTGAATGAGCAGTATGTGCTGTTAACTATTGAAGCCCTCTGAAACTTACTTTTTAATCATTTTTTCTTCAAAGGGAAAGTGTATATAATCTGTTCTGTAAGTGGCACTAATTTATATTTCTTTGTGTAAAAATGTGTAGCAACATCTACTGTAATACTCTGCTGATAATATCTTGGACTCCTTACCCAACCAGAACAGGTGACCCCAGGGCAGTGTTGAGGGCTGTGTCTGGTTTAATTAAATCCGTGCTCCAGGACAACCTCTACTGCAAGCCCTTGGTTTCAGGAGCAGCTTGACTGCTATGCTTCAGGAGTCACCCTCCAAACGTAAAGTCTTCCTCTACTTCCTCTGCTAATTTTTCTTTGAGTTAACTTTAAGCTCTGTTCCTTTGTTCCCTTTCATATTCTTTCCTGTGATCAAAGGCAAAAAGCAATAAAGAAAAAGCTGAAGGGTTGATGTTTTTTTTAAGTTGATTTATGCAAAAGACAAATGAGTGCCCACCATACCCCCATTGGCATGCTGCAGGGTCTGGGAGGCATAATATTGATTAACACTGGAAAAAATACCTACCTAGGGGATTCGAGACGTATTAGCTACGTTTCTTATCACTATGCAAATACCTGCTGTAAACGGTTTAAAGAACGAAGGATTGACTGAGACTCTTGGTTGCTTGTTGGATTCTTGGTATACCATGGAGTCAGGAGCATGTCATCTAGATGGATCTCATGGCAGACAGGTGATAGAAAGGCTCTCAGGACATGACAGAGTTCCCAAGGACACACTTCGAGTGATCTAGTTCATCCATCCAAACCCCACCTCCTACCATTTCCAGAACCTCTAAAAATAGTAACATATCAACTGTAAGTCATCCATTTATGTGAACCCTTTTGTGGGATGTCTTGTATCTGGTCCATAATTAGTTTTACTAACCAACAATAAACAAGTATGTCAGAGAGTGATACATAAAGAATGGAAAGGGGATGAGAGGTGTTAGACTTGTGTGACTTTAAATGGACCTTGGAGAGTTATAATGTAAAAGTGGCATGACAGCAAAGATATGAGCTGTGAGCATCCAGGGCTGAGCATCCCCCAAGACGGGGCTGAGCACAGGCCACCACGCTGTAGTGAAACCTCATGTGCTTTAGGAACCAGGAAGGGACTGCAAGCCCAGCACAGAAAATAATATTTGTTCAAAACTTGACAATACTGTTCGTTTTTTTAAAAAAATATTGTGGTGCTGGAGATCACCTCAGGGCAATGTTTTTGTTTATATCTCATTTATTCTTCCAAATATCACTGTGAAGGAACACAACCAGATAGTTACTAAACTTGAATTAATGTCTGAACTGTGGGGTCCTCTGCCTTGTGAAAGATCACTTGTTCATACACTTGTAGTTAACTACAGGAACTAATGCAGCTTTGCTGATTTGTTCATTTATGTATCTCCTAGAAAGCCTACTTTATAAAAAAAAAAGGTTCAACGTGATGGCACATTTTTATAAAACTAATTGTGTACTAGGATAACTGAGATGCTAGTCAAAAGTAACAGCTTCAGTGGTGGTGATCAGAGACCTCTGGCTGCCTGCTAGAATACAGAGCAGTACTCCCTCACTTCAGGGTCATCTTGCCTGAGAGGAACTATCTGAATCTAGTCACACAGAGGTACCAGACAAACCAAACTGGAGAAATGCAGAGGGTAACTAGCTCTCAGAACTATTAAGCCAGCGAAGTCAAGGAAAAGTTGAAGAATTGTTTTGAAAATTCAAGAGATGTGACAACTGAAAACTGTGTGGTTCTGTACTGAATTCTTCCTGCAAATAATCTCAATGGGACAATCACTGAAACCTGAGCGGTGTCAGAGGCTCCGGGCATAGTCATGAAATAAAGCTAGCATCTTGGTTTTAAAAATGTGTTTGAGACAATGTCTTTTTATGTACCCAGGCTACCCTAAAATTAATATTGAAGCCATGACTGACCTTGAAGTTGCAATCCTCCTATCTCAGCCTCCACAGTGCAAGGATGACAGGTATATACCACCACACACTGATCAATATCTTGGCTTTGATGGTCATATTGGAACTTTTTGCAGGCTATCCTTATTTTAATAGATATACATTATCCAGAAAGTTAGGGCCTGGGTTTAGCAACATGTTTCTAAGAGGGGGAGGAAGAGAGAGAAGGAGAAGGACAGAGGGACAGAGGGAGAGAGAGAGGACCAAATATCTCTACATCTTAGTTGAATGCCTGTGAGCATGACATGGCTTCAGAAATATCACAAGTGGATCACAATGTTGGCAATACATATCAATCAGAGGAGTCTCTCAAAATTAAAAGGGATTTACACCAACCAGTGTTTCCTTTGTTCATATCAACAGTTTCCTCTTTAACCACTATAAATGATCAATGTAAATTCTAATTTTTCTATATTGAAAAGCAAATAAATAAATCACTGAGTAACATTTCCACAGAATTTCTCTCCATGATTTTCAAAAATTTTTCTAATAGTTCAAGGTAAGTGTTTTATGACACCTGTTGATTTATGCCTATTTACAAATCCAACTAATGCCACGCTTGGCTATATATGTATAAAAACAAAATAAGAAACACCAAACAATAAGTGAACAATAAAATAAGTAACAATAAAAATTACAGTGAGTGGGAAATTGCCTCCCCTTTGGGGAGGCTGGACTCTAACCAGTGTAGGTCTATGTGTGTTTTTTGTTCCTCAGACATGTTAGATGCCATGTTTGGCATGAGTAACTAGGACTCCTCCAGATCCCCTTTACTAGGTGCTAGCACCCATCCTCCAGATCCCGTGCTTCTCTCTTCATTTCTCTGAGAATTGCTCTGACCTGATGTCGTTGACATGGGTGGTTATGACAGCCTTCTTGGAAACTTATAACTATGATTAACTCAAGTAAGGTACAGAGTCTACTGATGTCAAGATTGGGCCATTCTCTGATGTCATTCATAGTCCAGAATTCTCTTTCAGTTAAGACTTCAATAAATGTACCTCTTGGGCTTATCTCTCCTTTTATTTTATTTTATTATTCTCAGGGTCAACAAAGTATACTCTTTTAACACATTACTCAAAAAAGAACCTCCAGGTTGGTTTACTTTTTTCTTAATTTTACCTAAGATGGACTAAAGCTCATGAGATTCAGTGTTGTGTGAAACAGTTTACAACCTTGTGAAAGAGAAAGAAAAAAAATGTAACTCATGAAGTAACAAATGATAAACACATTGCTTTTGTGGACTGTTCTTTAAAACTAGGTTATATGGGAAGTTTTCATAATGCCTCAGCCTTCAGGCAGAATATTTAAAAGATAAACAGAATTGCAAATGGGATTTAGGAGACATGTTATTTTTCTTCTAAATTGAGCTTATTTCTTCCTTTTAGCTTCTACATTTTTCCGTGCATTTTAACATGACTTTGTGGATTTGGGGCACCAACTCACTGACATACTAGTTTAAGAGACTATAAAACTTCAAAAATATTTTTCAAAGTGAATTGTTCATATCCTGCAACCAGCCAAGTCTCATCAGATGAAACAGAATAAAAGCAAACAGGGAATTCTGCCCTGAAATCCAATGACCTGAGTATAAGTTGAGAACAGATGCATATCTCTTTATCAGAATGTAGACTTTATCTATACTGCCTAAGGAAAAATGTCTTCTCTGACCCCTGTGGTCAAACACCACAGAAGAATTTATTCTGGCTCCTAGCTTGAGAGGACATAGCTCATCATAGTGAGAAGGCATGGCAGGGTTTGGCTCATTGGCTTGCAACAATGTCCATGGTCCAGAAAGCACTGACAAGTCTGCAGCCCCCCAACAGACCATTTTCTCTAATACGCTTTCACCTAATAAGCCTTCACCTCAGAAATGTCCCATAATTCCCCCCAATACACAACCATCTGGGAACTTAAACACATGAACCTACGGGAGATATTTCACATAAACCATAACCGAGGGCTAGAATCAAGCTTAGAAAAATTTAGTAAGATTATTCTGTGGAGTAAATGTTTATAAGGGAATCCTTCAACACAGAGGTGATGACATTATTATAGTCATCTCTGAATAGCTTGGTTTGAAAACACGTTCTTCACGTTGCCTCGCTCCCTTCCAAAATTCCTGGCAGATACGGCCTTTGAATCATGCTCTGTTCAGTGATGAATCTGGACACACTTTCATCCCCTGCTCAGTTTCACAGGTCAGTCACACAAATGGATCGGAATTGAGGTGGCTTGAAAGTCACCTCTGGGTCTCTCGTGTCAGTGGAGTTAGACATGACACAGTTCCAAATAATGAAAATCTCCCTACTGGCTAGATTTGTCCAAAAGTAAAATGAAACCTGTGATTAATTCCTTGTCCTGGTGTTTATCACTTACTTATAGGGTGTGACTTCCAGAGATCCGTTTCCTCGGTGGACAGTAAGGCACAGTTTGAGTGATTTCCTGGTACTTTCCAACTCAGAGTATAAACTTCTTCAGTTCTGTTTGTATTTTAAGGAGGATGTCTGTTAACATATGATAACAAATCTATGAGGGTGGTATTTCAGCTTAAGCAACTGGTTAGGGAGGAAGCTGTTTTAAGTAGACTCCACCCTTTACCTAGCTGCTAAAAATCACCATACTAATTACATCTGTGACTTGAACAGAGCACTTGCTCTGGTCTAAGGGGGCCTTTTAGTGATCGTAACTACCCGTAACGTTTTAGACTAAGCTAAAAGGACATGAAGAAGGTAATAAGTAAAATGATCTCATATTGAAAAGAATATAAACATCTAATGACTGAAGAAGCCCCTCATACCTACTGCTTATGTAACATCTGGCTGATTATTTTCACCCCCAAGCTTTCCTTCTTACCACATCCTAATCATCTATTGCACTCTATTCACTAATAGTTCACTTATTTGAGTTTTCTCTTTTGGCTAGTTCTTTGAGAGAGAGAGTTGTGCTAGTGTCCTCAAGTATGTGAAGCTTCAAATGCCCCTCTGTTGAACTGACCATGACTCAGGTCCCTTCTGTCACTATTAGTGTATAATAACGTTGTGCTCTATATTTCCACACAGGAAATGATTAACCCATCTTTTCTGATCTCCAGTCAGCCTGTGTGCTCACTCAGTAAGTACTTAGTTTAGGCACTAGCAATTTTGTGATACTACAGGCATAGTGCTGAATTAACATTCTAAGCACATCCAAGGACATGGAGTGCTTAGTGACAACATTTATCAGCTCTTGGGAATCATGATAGAATGAATGACATGATGACTGTATTAGGTGTAATGCTAGGGAAAAGTATCACCAATGATTGATGGTCACAATATGGCAGAAGACGCTACCCTTTTGAGTGTCATTGTAGCATTTCACCAATCCCCAATCCAGCTTCCAAACTACTCTCAGACTTTCCTCTTAGACATGCAGATTGCTTAACCAGTGCGATGGCTCGGCT